ATAATAGCAAACACTAAAATTATGAACAAATTAATAATATAACTTAAATAGCATTTTGACAATAGCTCTTATTGTAGTACAACATTTTGTACTTGTTTATTCAAAGGTAACACTGCAATGTTTTATTTAATCTCATCAAAAATTGAAATGTTAAAATGTGCACTTGAACATAAAGATTAATCGATATTGGTGATCATTTAAATGATGCTTCTCCATCGATATTGGTGATCATCTAAATGATGTTTCTCAATCGATATTGGTGATCATTTAAATGATGCTTCTCAATCGATATTGGTGATCATTTAAATGATGTTTCTCAATCGATATTGGTGATCATTTAAATGATGCTTCTCAATCGATATTGGTGATCATTTAAATGATGTTTCTCAATCGATATTGGTGATCATTTAAATGATGTTTCTCAATCGATATTGGTGATCATTTAAATGAAGTTTCTCAATCGATATTGGTGATCATTTAAATGATGTTTCTCAATCGATATTGGTGATCATTTAAATGATGCTTCTCAATTGATATTGGTGATCATTTAAATGAAGTTTCTCAATCGATATTGGTGATCATTTAAATGATGTTTCTCAATCGATATTGGTGATCATTTAAATGATGCTTCTCAATCGATATTGGTGATCATTTAAATGACGCTTCTCAATCGATATTGGTGATCATCTAAATGATGTTTCTCAATCGATATTGATCATTTAAATGATGATTCTCAATCGATATTGGTGATCATTTAAATGATGTTTCTCAATCGATATTGATCATTTAAATGGTGCTTCTCAATCGATATTGGTGATCATTTAAATGATGCTTCTCAATCGATATTGGTGATCATTTAAATGAGGCTTCTCAATCGATATTGGTGATCATTTAAATGAAGTTTGTCAATCGATATTGGTGATCATTTAAATGATGCTTCTCAATCGATATTGGTGATCATTTAAACGGTGTTTCACAATGCAGGTAAAATAGACATTACAGGCCCTGAGCCTTCAATACTCCTCTCAGTGGCACAGAGGTAAATCTACTGACTTTGTGTTTTTAAAACCAAGTTAAATAAAAAAGGCGAAAGGGAGTAATTTATGGTAATTAAATTAATCAAAATATTAAGCAGTTAGGCCCGGCATGGCCGGGTGGTTAGGGCGCTCGACTCGCAATCTGAGTGTCGTGGGTTCGAATCCCCATCCCACCAGACATGCTTGCCCTTTCAGCCGTGGTGCCATTATAATGTGACGGTCAATCCCACTATTCGTTGGTAAAAGAGTAGCCCAAGAGTTGGCGTTGGGTGGTAATGACTAGCTGCCTTCCCTCTAGTCAAACACTGCTAAATTAGGACCTGCTAGCGCAGATATCCCTCGTGTAGCTTTGCGCGAAATTCAAAACAAACAAACAATTAAGCAGTGATCAACATCTTTACACGTTTCGCTGACTGCTTACCGTAGAAAGATCCCTAATTTTGTTAGTTTGCTTGTTTTATAGCAAAGCCACATTGGGCTATGTTGTGTCCCTTATGGGATATCTAGCCCCGGATTTTAACGCTGTAAGACGGTAGACATACCACTGGGGGTATCTATATAAATAATACGTTTGCGTTTGTCTGTCTGGAACTTTTCTCGCAAATTTCTCTATCACACGCTGCACTTCTCATATTGTTTAGAAATTGTTTGTTTTTATAGAGCAAAGCCAGATTGGGCTATATGCTGTGTATACCGCGGGAACTCCAAATTTTAGCGTTGTAAGTGCGTAGACTTACCGCTGTCCCACCAGGGGACATATATCGTTAGAAAGGCCTTTATCCGAGAAGTTCGCATTGTATATTAACTTTTCCATTCAGAAAAATACCTTATCCGTGTTTTGCTTAGTCAAAACTATTTAATGCAACGAGTATGCTACACGATGGCACAATGTCTTTGTCATCACGTGACGACTGGCTTCGATTTCAACTTTAGTATTTTTTACTTGCAAAAAAATTACACTAAATACAATTGGTATGGGCTTTCTCGACTTATTTAAGTCTAAAATGCGCATGCGTAGTTGGTCCAAAACCACATGCTTATCACTTTATGAAAACGCATTCAGACGTTTCTGCATAATCAGCTGAGTTTGTCTTCATCACAACTTTACATTTACTTTGCAATAATTTAGCTTCGATTCGTTTCATAGACTGCTATAAACACTTTTAGCTGCTTTTTTCTTTAGTACTTGTTTTAGTTTTCGTTTTAACTCATAAAACCGTATCATACACTGAACACTCATAACTGTTTCATACAACATTACGAAAACCATTACTATACTTTACTGTTTACTCTACATGTAGTTTTATTACACAAAGTTACGTCTAGACGAGTTTGTTTGTCTGACCGCGTCAATTTTTTTTCATATAGATCAGGATTTATCGATCTAACACACAATGCCTAGAAGAAAACGCTGTTTATTAAATGCCGTGCATGAAAATAATAGAATAATATATGTTAGTGTTATGGAATGAGATGTTGTAAACCTACACTGCGACAATATTACTGAGGTCATTCAAGGTCAAGTCCTTCTGAAAAAAGTGTACACAATAATACGAAGAATTTTAATCCCAATATGGCCAAACTCGCTCGACAAGAACAACAGTTATAGACATAGGATAAATATCCTAACAGTACACCAAAATGGTGGGGAAAAAAGTCGATAACTGCGTTCAAACTGATGTGATAAATCCCTATATCCTGCTTCTTATCCCGTTCGTACAACGTTACTGCGTAAATGGGCCTGTAGTACGTAGCCGCTGACACACATTTCTTTACATTTGATGCGAAAGATGACGTTTTTTCATCTATTTGGCTTAAAAACTGGCATTCTGGTGAAATTCTCCAGACAGTAAGATCATGTTAAATTGTTCTTCAACTAAATACCGTAACTTAGGAATCGCTAAAGTTAATTAATTCTATGTATTGAGCTTTTATTTGGATACTTTATAACAGTTTTGACCTATGAAGGATGAGATGGCCTGTTTATGCAAAATTCGGACTTTAAGCCTAAAAAGCAGGGCCTGTGTAGTAACTAACAAACTTTGCTATGATCGGATTTTAATTTTGTGTGGCACATCTCCACATGCACGGAGGGGGTACATTTACGCATACAACTGTTATGTAGTTTTTCAAGAACGATTTTGGTAATTTTCAGTTTAAAACGTTTTATTTATTATTTTTTACACTTTTACCATTCATACTTTAGGTATGCTGAATATTAATAACATTAAAGAAGGACCTTAAACGACCTTAATAATATTGTCATAATTTAGGCCTACAACACAACCATATTCCATATCAATATTCTCCTATACTTTTCTATTTGAGGCCTGGTATGACCTGGTGGTTAGGGCGCTCGACTTGAAATCTGTAGGACCGAATCCTGTCATCAAACATGCTTGCTTTTCCAGCTGTGGGAATGCTATAACATGACGACCAATCCCACTACTCGTTGGTAAAAGAATAGCCCAAGATTTGGCGGTGGGTGGTATTAACTAGCTGCCTTCCTCTAGGACGGTTAGTACAAATAGCCCTCGAATAGCTATGCACGAAATTCAAACCAAATCAAACTTCCCTATTTCTAAATAATTTGACTGCCAGTGGACTTCCGATATAACTATGGGAGAGTTGAAAATGTTGATACTCGTGGGGGTGGATTGGTGTTTTTCAGCACATTAACTCAACGATCCCTGAAACTGATCATTTTTATTGGCTGATATATCACGTTACAACTTTATCAGAATGTTTTCATATTTGAGACACATGATATAAAACCGGGTTGTGTTTCTATAATAACAGCTGACTTTACTTCAACATATTTCTTAATAATATGAACTTCCGAATGAAATTAAACAATAATAATACAACAGACACGGTAATGGTTGAGACATTAGCAACTTGCTTGACAACAACTTGTTATTGTGTGAACTGGATCATGTTGTAATTCTTCATCGGTTTTAATTTATGTCACAACACAGGAAAATTATAGTATGTTTGGGGTTTGATTTATTTAAACATAATAACACATCAAATATTAAAGTAATTGTCATGATTTAATATTCGTATTGTTGTTTTACTGGATATTAAAACTGCATCCTAAACAACCATTAGGCCTATTATATTTTATAACCCTACATAAAGGTTTTGAGACGGCTTGACTGGGTAATGAAAGACTTTATTATAACAGTACGACGTAACGTCGAAGACTAATAATGAAGTTTTTTCTTTCATTACCCAGTCAAGCCGTCTCAAAACTTTTATTTTCTTAAAAGTGGGTTCCTCATTATCAAGTTATAACCCTACATGTTTATCAGACCCACGGACTGAATAAAGAACATAATGTTAAAAATATAGTTAGGCCTAATAGAATGTCTTATGACAAGTATAATTAGTTACAACCATGCTTTTCCAGCTTAGAAACAACGTTCACACCATAACAGTCATTGTTGTAACATGTGGCTTGTATAAACAGGCCTAATGATGATCTCTATATTAGGCCTAATAGAATGTCTTATGACAAGTATAATTAGTTACAACCATGCTTTTCCAGCTTAGAAACAACGTTCACACCATAACAGTCATTGTTGTAACATGTGGCTTGTATAAACAGGCCTAATGATGATCTCTATATTAAGCAAAACGTATAATTGGCAATGAACACAAGGGACATAGTGTGGTTGAAATACTATTATACAGCCTTCTTCCTCTTGAAAAAAAAACCTAAGGAACTGACTAAAAAATGCAATGTTCAAAAATATAATATACCTAATCCTAATGTCTTATGCAAGCATAATTAATTATTCTTCGTCAGCTTCACAATAATTCTTATGAAAAACTATAGCTTTGTTAACTTGATAAAATGAAGATAGTATCAATCTCTAGTAAACTGTCAATACAAATGTTTTATCACTAAAAAAAAAGTATTGTGGCGGTCGAAGATCTTATATAACTTTGGATTTTTCGTTTCTGTAGTTTTGATAATAACCTCTCCGTTATATAGAGGCTCGTTTATTATCTTCTACTTCAAGAGGATAAAATAGACTACCGTGTATACTGTCTTCCCTGGATTGTGAGTCATTACACGGGAATAAATATATGTTGTTCTTGTTGCTAGATGGCAACAGGGAATGTTTGTGCTTTGAGGTCCTCTTTCTTGAGTAACACGTACAGGAACAAACGGAAGAAACGTCTTCAAACTCGGATGCATCAGGCCCATGACAGGAAATGACACTTCCGTTAGCGGTAATGACGTCACCTTCAAGGCGAACTGCTTGTTGTGCTGCCGTCTGTGCTTCTACCTCGTCTCTACGCTCGTCCTCGGTGTTCATGGTGAGGAACCGCAACACCAGGAGATTCATTGCAGCGGACACGACGGACAAGCCGAACAGAATAAACACTAAACTAAAGGCCACGTACTCGGGTTTGCTCTGGAGGGCGCTCTCTTTTTGTAGAGCCACATAGTCCCCAAAGCCTATCGTTGTTAGAGTGATAAAACAATAGTAAAAGGCATCAAAATAATTCCAGTATTCATAGCGGGAAAACACCGCAGCCCCAGTGGTCATCAATAAGGTAGACAGAATGGACACTAGACAGATGAGGTTGGTCTCTGTGACCTCCGTGTTCTTCATCTTGAGGCACCGTTTTGCAGTCTTAAGTAAGTATGCCACGAAGGTGTTGAGCCGTTCGCCAATACTCTGGAACATCACTAGGCCTAATGGGATTCCTGCTAAGGCGTAGAACATACAGAATGTCTTTCCTCCCCACGTGGCTGGTGTGGAGTGACCATAACCTTTAGTGAGAAAGTAAAATATATATAACTGGTCATTAAAATCATATAATTTCCGCAGCCACCAGCCAACATAAGCGAAATATTTTACAAATAACATTTCAATTTTTGTTACTGTCTTGGGGATGGTCACAATGTATGTTTACCTTCCTTACTGAGACAAACAAGTCAAGGTTTGTACAATTATAACAGTAATGTAAATAAAGTAAAACTCGCCTAACACTTTGCCATCACACTAGGTAAATATAAAGTTATACACCGAACTCCAATACGTGATTCGTATGAACACCTACGACATTCGGTTGTTCGGAAACAGGATCGGAATTTGATCGCTTGGGGCGATCGGGAGGGTCAGGTTTCTTTCAAACCTCTTGACTGTTTTATGGTGTAATAGTATACAATCATACTGTTGTACATAAATGTACAGCGGTTCTGTCTTCCCTTTCAGGATCATGTCCATTCATGTAACACTACATAATTTTGTGAATATTTATTACTTCTCTTCATTTGAGTTATGAATAACGCACAAACAGCTCCATGAATAATTATGTTTTTAATAGAATTATTTCACCTAGACGCATTTTACATAAAATACCCTTTTAAATACGAGATTCACTAAGTCTGTTTGTTTTGTTATAGAATTTCGCACAAAGCTACACGAGGGCTACCTAATTTAGCAGTGATAGACTAGAGAGAGAAGGCAGCTAGTCAACACCACCCACCGCCATCTCTTGGACG